TCTGGAGAGGTCCTGCTCATGCTCCCACCTCCTTCACAGCCGCGATGGGTGGGGACGAGGGAGAAGGCCTTCTCGGTGGTGGCCCCTCAACTCTGGAATTCACTCCCTAAGGACATCAGACATGCCCCAATGCTGGAAGTCTTTAGGAGGAGCTTGAAAACGTGGTTGTTCCAGTGTGCCTTCCCAGAATAAGGAAAACTCTTAGTAATATGTCCTCAAATGCACTTTAATATTGATTTAGGATTGTCTGCGTGCCCTCATCTTTCTTTAAAAACCCTATCCTAGTTTACCCTACCTTGTTCACGCCCAGCATTGACCCGGCCATAGGTTTTTAAATGCTGTATGTTATTGTTATTGCTTATTGTCTATTTTTTGTTTTGAGTTTTATTTTAACTGTTTTGTATTGATTATTCGTTATCGCTTTTGTTTATTAATGTGCTGTGGGCTTGGCCTCATGTAAGCCGCACCGAGTCCTTTGGGGAGATGGTAGCGGGATACAAATAAAGTTTTAGTATTATTATAATTAGAATGACAGATCAAGATCAAACTTGACACACAGAACCCCCTGACCCATTCTACATACTGGTGTGGTTTGTGGGAGGACGTACCATGGATGATGGGACTTGAAGTACCTTCACTTACTTTCCAAGACTGCTGTGACCCTCATCCAATGACTTATCAAGACCAAACTTGGCACACAGAGCTCCCATGACCCACTTTACATCCCGGTGCAGTTTGGAGTAGGATGGACCATAGATGATGGGACTTGAAGTACCTTCAGTCACTTCCCGAGACCGCTGCAACCCTCATTCAATGACTGATCAAGACCAAACTTGACACACAGAGCCCTCATGACCCACTATACATCCTGGTGCAATTTGGAGGAAGATGGACGATGGGACTCGCAGTACCTTCACACACTTCCTGAGAGCACTGCGAGCTACATAAATAACTGATAAAAACCAACCTTGGCACACAATGCCTTTCTCAAATAACCCGGGCACAGCTATTTGATTTCTAGCATACTTAAAACCAAATATTTAAAATTAATCTATTCATTATTGAAGAGTTATATTTACTATTCCTTCATGATGCTGTTTTAAGTGACAGACAAGCTACAACACAGGAAAGCAAACAACTAAACCCTTATATATATATCTTAGAAATATGTATGATGAGCAAACATACACAACAGGCATATATCAGTATCTTCAATATTATTCCAGCCATTTGTTAATCCATGCAATGATGTCTTGCTAGCCAAACTCAGATGGAACATGAGAAACAACTACAAAAATAAACAGGCCTAAAGCTGCCTAAGGGAAAGTCAGCAAGATGGCAATTTCAATCATTTGGAATAATACTAAAGAAGCCCTAGGCTTTCCTCAGAATGGAAACATGTCACCATTACTGCAACATTTCAACAAATCAGGATGCAGAAGAAAGGAACACTTATGTAATCACATCAGTTGAACAGCACTTTACTCAGCATTTAAGTGGAAAATAATTATGAGGAAATTCCATTTATGTGAATGATTTTAAAGGAACATAAATGTCTGTAAGGAAAAGAACAGCAATCTTAAACTTCTGTTTGGAGTTTATACAATAGTATTTTGCAGACTCTTCTTTAATACTATTATGCAAATTGCTTTGGAATGATGAGGAAGAAATTACACAAAAGAGAAGCATGAGATGTGGCAAAAGGTCTATTGACTTAAGCACACTAAACACAAATGGTATTTCAAACATTTCCCTGTCAGAAAGTTTCATTAAGATAAATAGCATGTCATATTACTAGACTGAAAAATCAAAAATATTTGAAATATCTGAGGAACTTATCTAATCAGTACATTTTTAGTATGTGTCTAGTCATGTAGCCATCTTTTACTCAATCATCAGAAAATCAAAGGCAAATTGGCATGACTCAACCCAAACTTTAATACCGCATGATTGTGTCGTGTAAGCTTGTTTTGTGTGATGGCTGCTGTGGTTTTAGTAGAGAGATTAACAACCGGACCTAAGCTGGCCTCCAAACCTTGCCCTGCTGATGCCTCAGGCCCTTTGAAGTCTGACCATCATACCTGGCAAAACAACAGTGGGAACTAGGCTGGTGTCAGATCTAATCAAGTTGCCTGCCTCGGCATAGCTAACTATGGGGTACACTAATTGGCCCAATTGCGGATTATACCTTTTGCTACAGATTCAAGACAATAATTTAGTCAAATGATGGTTTTTATCTCCTTCTAATTAAGATTCCAAAGTAGGAAGAAATAGGATTAGACAAGCTAACTTCAGAATTGTAGTCCTTTTGAAGAGGTATGCATTTAGAACATTTCCAATATCTTAAAGTATGGTTAGAATAATGAAGTATCAGGTAAATATTTAAGAAAGTACAGCCATTACCTCCTTTTTATCAAGTATTCCAGCAACTAAAATATACCATTTCATATACCTTAAGACCCAAACCACAACACACCTTGAGATAAATGGACACATTACATGCCAGTTCCAAGGGCTTGAAACTACCATTTCTAGTTCTGTTTCTTGACTCTACTATTAGTATCCACTGAACAACTATAAGCAATAGAGTGCTTAACATAATGATACAATAAGACATGAAAGAGAATCCATTATACATTTTACACAAGAAGTAATAGCATATTGATGAAAGTGTAATTGAGATAGATTTGTTTCAAGTCATTTGTAAATTTCCACATTAAGATTCCTGTTTTTCAGAGATAGTTGATTAACATTCAACATATAAATGTACTGTATACTACCTCCCTATAACCTTTTAATTACTGTTTTTAATCTTCTGTTGAATAATATTTTATATGGTTTCTTTCAACTCTTTTAAATGACACATGTCCAAAACCCCTATGCGTTCCTCCAGAACGCTTCCCGTTTATCATCTTCATTCCTAAACTGCGCCCATGAACTGATTATTTTCACCAAATTATTAAATTCAATATCATCTTTGTCATCTACCTCCAGAATAAAGTTAACCTCTGCTTATAGCACCTTCCCCTCTACAGGGAAAATAATCTTACAGTTCAAAACCACGGGCAGAAAAATAGCAATGTGGTGCAATGCTAAAAATTCCAAGATGAGTGACAGCTGATGGGTTAGGAAGCAATGGAATTTTCTCCAACAAGAATGGAACCAATTTAGAGTGGGCACAGTGTTCAACAGAGAAGGCTGAATTTATTCAAGTAGGTCAGCTATGCTTCTCTACAGTTTCTTTTCCAAAAGGTCTTTAACACTGCTAAATCAAATGATTTTACCCTTGGGCTACATAGTGTCTTTATAGTAGGTACTAAGCTTAAATACAGCAGTGGAAAATAGCAACAAGGAATTTTATTGATAGAGGCAACATTTTCTGACCCAAGCATATTTGTGGGGGAGAAAAACAATATTTCAAAGTAAAGGTGTAGCAAAGGGAAATTTAATACAATAGAAAAATAGTAGCCCTGTTTGTCTGTGCCAGGGAAAACAATTACGGTTTCTGCATTTTAAAGTGTTGCATGAATATTAAAGACCTTTATTCAAGTGATTCACAAGATGAATAGCCTTTTGATGAAGTGGAATTATGTTAAAGTGGACTACACTAGTACAGTGCTTAGCTCCATTAAATGTATTCTTTTTCCGAGAACTGAAAATTCCACAGAGGAATCACCATTTCTTAAAAGAAAGTAGAGGAATGACACAACAATCTTCATCATGCATTTGGCTTTAAGTGGTTTCTGAAGGGAGCATCTCTCTAGTTGAGAATCTTCAAGTGCTCATGTGGGGATGACCCCACAGTTTGCAAGAAAACTGGCTTCTTGATTAACTATTAACTACTGTCTATAGAAGTAGATAATTAAGGACATTGATGACCATTATTAGGAGGAGGGCACTTTAATTTGTCACTTGATAAGTTCCTTTCAACAATTTATAGGTTAGTGCAACTTTCATTTGTGGAGAGACAGTGAGAAAGATGGAGGGAGGGAGAGAAAAAAAGAGGAACCTTAAGTTACCTTATCAAGTGGCCAGCTAAAGAGGGCAGAGGGTCAAATAAGGGCCAAAGTGGTCACTTAAGGGTGAAATCCCAAACACCAAAGCAGTGCCAAGCCACATTGACCATCATTTGGTGATGAAGTAAAAAATATGCTAATATATTGGTGGCAATTCTTCCTTTTATGGTTTCAAGCAGTTAAGACAAGTGGCCTGCTTAACAGCTTTTCATCTGAAAAGGGATTAAACTAAATGATTTGTCAGGGCTGCTTGGCGGTTTATGTCTTTGTTTAAAAGCAGCAGAGACTGTACTGGTGACAGTCCCATCATTTCGAAAACCATCTCTTTTTCTCTCTTCGGCATTTATTTGGTTAATAAGTACATCAACCTAAATTGCTCCATGTGTATTTGCTCCTTAGCAAGACCACAGCAAAATATTTATAGTATTGCTTTCTATGTGGAATCACAGAGTCAGGAAGAAAAAGTTTATATTTGCTAGAAATGTTTCTTACGGTCACTAGTGTAAATGATACTACATTTAAAACAACACACAAGAGCAAAAGGTGATTCCAATACAGCCAAGGAAGTGACTTCTGAATACTGATAAGGACATTAGTTCCTCATGCCACATTCAATTTTAGGCAGCATATTCAACTGGAGTAGTAACATGTAGAAACGTTCCTACTCACTAACCCAAGAACAAGAAAATCATTAACATTTAATTAAACATTCTTCCAACATATTCAGAAATGTGTGTGCTGTGCTTTGTTATTGAAAGTTGTGACCTATTTTTTATTCGCTGGTTTCAAAATGGTTCTTTTTTGGGAGGGGGGATTTGGTAATGCAAAGATAGACTTGTATTTTTTTAAGAATTAAAAGCATATTTTGTAAAACATTCCAAGCTTGAAAGCCATACGAAAACATATAACAGTTGTAAATTAATATGCACATACCTAAGTCAAAATTACATCTCGTAATAGTACTGTATATATAAAAATTCTTACCTCGATAACGAAGAGCTTTCTTTTCAGTCTAAAAGCAAGGTCCTTCATGTCTGACACATCACATATCAAGCTATTAAGCCGAGGAATCTGGTGTATGTGAATCAACCCTTGTGAAAATGAAAAAGAACGGAGGAAAAGAAATAAGGAAGTGCTGATATCCAGACTTGTAAATTAATGTCTTACAGCAGAATTCAGTATATTTACACATACTCATCCTCCCCTTTCTAAACTGGAGCTTACGACCAGGAGCAATGAAGCAAATGGCGCGATTATACTCAAGTAATCAAGCAGAATAAGATAAACAGAAATCCTTGTGTGAGGAAAACTAATTGCACTTCAGTACAGAGGTAGAGATGTAAAGAGGGATCTTAATACTTGTCAAAACTACAGCCGGTTTGTGTGTGATTTTCTCTTGTATTTACAGTAAGCAAATATGGCTATCACCTTGCATGCTGCCCACGGCACCACTGAGTGATCTTTATTTTATTAAATGCACCAGTAAGCAGCCAGCAAAGCAAGGCTCATGGGTTACTGATAACCAGTGAAGCTGTAATGAAAAGTATTTGGTTTTGCACTTTAATAATTATTTTTTTTAAAAAACTCTTGTAGGAATCAAAAAATGGTACAAAAATGCTGCTGGATGAATTTTAATCACTACATAAACACAGCACAAATGATCTTCTGCATGCAAGATGTTCATTGAGCTTGCTGGAATTTTATAACAATACTAGGCACACTGCAAGCTCTGCATTCTGTCAGTCGAGTCTCAAGCTGATTTCTTTTGACAAGGACGCTGGATGGTTTCTGTGCAGCTTAATATAGTTTCTGAATAACCGAAGGGTCGTTTTACACAATAGAAAATGAGAAATATTGTAAAAGACATCAGAAGAAAAGCTTATACATCCACTTTACATTAGTTTTAAGTGTAATAAATGAAAGTGAAAACACTGGGCTGTTCCTAGGGCATTTTTTCCATACATTTTAAAGACGATCACTCTTAAAAGACAAAGTTACAGAAAACTATGGTTTTTAGGAAGGCAGCATGGTTAAATAAAATTAAGATTAAATATGAGTGAAATCACATGAAAATTCAATTCAAATTTTCTTAAATTACATAATATTATAATTGCATTTTTTTGTAAATCTCAGTCTAAATTCCATTTAAACAATCTTAAATAATACAATTTATTGTGACTAATTCCCACTAAAACACACTGAAATTAGTAATAACTAGACTATTTTATTATTTTAAATGGAACTAAGTTATGACCAACTTTAAGAAGATTGGGGCCACAAATCTTGTTCTATGTTACAGTGACAATTCAAAGGAGCAATTTGTGTATGAATACAGCTGCTACATATTCAATTAGAGCCTTCTTTGATATTTATTCTGAAGCTTTTGCTCACAAAAGTAAACTGCTTTTCACCAGACCGGTTAGGCAGAACACATTGTGCAGTTAGTATTTCTTAAGGATCATCGTATATTTGGGTTGTGAGAATGTATGATTAAAACATTTTGGTTAATGTTTTCATATACTTCAAATGTCCCTATTTAATCAAGATAATTTGGACAAATTGTGCACAGTCTTAAATAACTTTTAAAGTTTATTGCATTGACTATCTATTTAGTGAATGTAGTTGAATGTATTTGAGGTGTAACTACTTAATAATTACCAATCAGATATGTTGTATTAAACATCATGTTGGTTATACTTCAGTTTCAAGGAGAATAATATATTCATGCTCAGTTTACTAATAAACAGTGCATCAGTATCCACTGTAGCCAACTACAAATGAATGCAGGAAATGGAAAAAGGCCTTCAGCAATATAGTATAATGGTGTCAGGGGAGAGGGATTGTATGTGAGTGTTTGTTAAAACAGGGGGTTTTGGTGTAAAAATCTGTAAGATTTTTTTCTTCTGAAAAATGAGGGAGGCCATATCATACTGCTTAGGCATGTATGTAAAACAAAATAATTCATGAAATTATAAACTAGCAATATAAATGTCATACAATATTGTATGCAAGTATCATGCAATATTTTAACATGCAATACTGTTGTTTTTTAAGTGAGCTACATAGAAAGGCAAACACCTTTCTGAAATCTCAGTGTATGTCTCCAAAAATTTAAAAACAAGATTTAGAACAGTGGAAAAATGTTTACACAGAAAAGGTCCGAATCAATTGCTTGGGAAAAATAGCAACTTAAATTTTAAATTGGAAACATGAACAAAACAGACATATGATGAAAGATGGATATTGTCTCAACTCTTTGATATAAGGCATGAATTTACAGTACCCTATTTGATAGCATTCTAGTAGTTTTTTCATACTTCTATAACTTAAACTTACAAAGATCAGTTCAAATGATTACTGCTTTACAGAACAAACTGCAGCCTTAACCAGGCGGTTGTGAACAAAGTTCTACTATAATCGCTATGCTGCGTTTTCTCATCTTACGTGAAATGGCATTTCCATATTCTTACATCATTTATAGCACGATTCAAATAAGAAGTTCAGTCTTTACATGGAGGTTTCCATGGAACTACAGTAATGTACAATAATAACAGTGGTAATTTATGCACATTCAAAGTACATTGTAGATCAGCTAACTATTTGTCATTCAAAGCATAGTCTCTTAACGCTGCCATCCTGTGTACACCTACCCAAGAGTAAGTATCACTGTACTCAGCATGGCTTACTTCTCAGCAAATAGGCATAGGATTGCACTGTAACCAATTTTATCAACTCTCCCAAATTGTTTGTCAAGAGCTCCCACAAAAAAACTGTGCAAAAGAAGCCAGGCACACTTGATGACGAGGCATTAACACAGTAGAGTGAAATAACTTTCTGCAGCAAAAGTGTTCTCTATACTTGCATTCTTGCAAAGATTAACCTCTTGGTTTTGAGCAACAGAAACAAAACCAAGCCTTTGGCTTAATTAAACCCAAGCAAATTCATTAGCAATTATAGAAAAAAAAATTCTCCATTTGTACTGTATCATTTAGCTGTCTCTTTGTGGAAATATATAACTGTTCTTCATGTTCTCTATTTAGAACTTGGCAGATCAAAACTATTGATTTAATGACAACTTCAGCTCAGTGGTCAGACGATTGCCAAGCCTCTTCCGCATGTGAATTCCCCAAAGCCTGCCGGTTGAGATGTACATCTGATTGAGCCATGCCTTGGTAATAGGGCTTGACAACATGCAAGGAGTTGCCATGTTTCCTTTGCAGCCTTAATGCACTTTACTGAAAAAATTGTCTAAATCAAGATTAGTTAGCAAGGTGAACCATTTAAGAGGCATATTCCAAAATGAAATCAAATGCTACTTTGTGGCAGATATTCCAATTGGAGAGTTAACTGCTAAGTGCCCTAGAAGCACTTAGGGCAGACTTTTGCATTGCTAAGGATGAAACTTACCATGGTAATCCTTGTATAATGGATTGGTTTCTCTCTCAGAGCCAGTAAATGATTCAAGGCCAACTACCGTATCAGACAAGTTTGCAACACGTTCCATAATTGCTTTATTCTGTAAAACATGGAAACAAAATACATAACCTACATGATGAAAAAGGTAATTAAGGTTCAAAGAGTAAGGCTTTGTGTTATCAATGACAAATTGAGGAAAAAAATAGGTCATCAATACCTAGTAACCATCGAAATGTGTCTAGTAATCTGTTAAAGAACTGCATATCTTTCAGAAAGAACCTAAAAACTTGGCTGTTCCAATGTGCCTTCTCAGATTAGGAATTCCCCATCCCAAGTCCTAGAAGCACTTTAGTACAATTAATATTGCTGCACACCGCACTATTTTAATCCTATGTGCCTCCTGCCATTTCAGCACTTTTAACCCTGTACCCCATTGCTCTGGCCGGCCCAGTTTTAAAGTGTCCTGATGTATTGTCACTGTTGTTGTTATTCTGCTTAACTATTTTGATTTGCTTTGTTTATTGTTGTGTTATGTTTTTACTGTATTGTGTTCTGAGGCTTCGGCCTATGTAAGCCGCATCGAGTCCCTCGGGAGATGCTAGCGGGGTACAAATAAAGTTAATAATAATAATAATAATAATATGCCAGTTCAAATGATGGTAAAATTTTATCATGCAATTAAAATACAATTTGAAGGGCACAATATCTATTTTTTTTATTCTATTTATAGCATTGATTTATTGCCTCTAATCTCAGGACAGCTATCAGTGCAATGCTCACTCAAGGAAACACTTGAAAAATATTAAACAAATAACTTTTAAAAAATTAAACATTCAAGACTACTTTTCAAAAATAGCTACTCCTCGTGTTAAGATCCAAATGCTAAGCAAAATAACCCAGTATTTAATGCACACCAGGAACTTTAATGGGATGGAGCCAACCGACACAATCCAAAGGAAAGTACCTTGAAATTTTACTGATTTTAATGGGAGCTCTGAGTATGAGTACATATCATATAGATACTGATGTTTTGACTGATTATCCTAACTATGCATATGTAACATCATAATTCTTATATCTATATAAATAAAAATGTAATGTTCATTTTTGGGATTAACATAACTAAAAACCACTGGACAAATTGACACCAAATTTGGACACAATACACATATCAGGCCAACAAGTGACCATCACTCATAAAAACATTGAAAAACACAATGTAAGAGACTTAAAAAGCCAAAAAACAAAAATTACATTACAACGTATACACAAAACCACATATATATATATAGGCAAAACCACATATATATACGCAAACACACATATACACAAATATATACACACATATATGCACACACAAAGCACATATACATAGCAACATGTGGCAGGGGACGGCTAGTTCAACAATAAAAAATCAAGTGAAATTTTGCAGTATCCTCTTTTCCTATAACAAATACAGCAAGATATATGTATAGATAGAAACAGTCAAGTGGTTCCTCCAGACCAGTGGTTTCCAACCTTTTTTAACCAGGGACCACTTGGACCAGGGACCACTTTGACCACGGACCACTCTTCAACGTTAGTACCAAAAGGGTTACGAATCAGTTTTTGGTGAGCTTTAGATTCGATTTGGTTATTTGGGCTGCTGATTCAGAAAACTGCATTGGATAGACAACATCAGTTCTAGTTTCTAATATAGAACATATGCCATCCAGTAATCACCATCTGTTTGACCACATTTTTTAAAATAAGCCTCTGCACTATAAGAGGATTTCGTGAGACCAGTCACTCTCATTGCAATTGTGTAGTAACGGTGAGGCCGCGGACCATATTTTAGTTCTTATGGACCACTGGTAGTCCACAGACCACAGGTTGGGAACGACTGCTCCAGACATATACAATACTGGGGGCATACACATCCTATCAACATTAATTTCCTGGTAAGAATCTGGGTGGGGGTGGGTGAACTGAATTCAGACATATCCCTCTTCCTCCTACATGCAGCGATCAGACCAACCATTTAGGGGACAGGAATTAAATGCCTGTCCTCTCATACTTTCTAACAAAAATGTCTGCATTCTGTTGTCCTGCTTGAATTGTTCAGTATTTTAATGCCTAGTCAAAATTGAGATAATACTTAAAATGATTCAAGTTCAAGAGTCTCTCTATCCCAGTCATAGTGCAGAATTATTCATCAGCAATTTAAACAACTTGGCCACAGCATTTAAACAACTTTGCTCTGAAAGCAAAGCCCTCAGAGTGCAATGTTCAATGCATTCACTGAAAATCGTTGCCCAGTTTCAATCTGACCACCAACCAAAAGTAAACTGATTTTACTGGAAACAATTTTATCTTATTCAACATTATGTCCTTATATCTCTATCTTCTGCTACAGGTTAACTTGTCAGGAAATTAAAAAATCTTGCTTGACTATGGTGAGATACATGTGATCAGTAAAAGTGTTGGTTTGTGTTATTTGCTGATTCTCAATCATGGGCCCTCAGAGATTTATCACTGGATAACAACTCCCACAGTCCATGATCCAGACCATGCAGGATGGGAATTATAGCTCAACATATCATGAACCACAGGTGAGCATTTTAAACAAACTGACCATATATGAGAACCATTGGATGAGAATATTATTTTAGGGGAGTATAAGCAAAGGGGGAAGGTAAAGGTAAAGGTAGTCCCCTGACATTAAGTCCATTCATGTCTGACTCTGGGGTGTGGTGCTCATCTCAATTTCTAAGCCGAAGAGCCAGCGTTGTCCGTAGACACCTCCAAGGTCATGTGGCCGGCATGACTGCATGGAGCGCTGTTACCTTCCCGCCGGAGCGGTACCTATTGATCTACTCACATTTGCATGTTTTCGAACTGCTAGGTTGGCAGAAGCTAGGGCTGACAGCGGAAGCTTACGCCGCTCCCCGGAATCGAACCTGCGACCTTTCGATCAACAAGCTCAGCAGCTCAGTGCTTTAACCCACTGCGCCACCGGGGGCTCCCGGTGGGAAGATCCAAGCTGAAATCCCCACTCAGCCATCAAACTCACTAAAACACCCCAGTTGCTTATTTATTTATTTATTTATTTGGTACGCTTGTATACCGCAATATCTCAGCCTGTGCGGCGACTCATTGCGGTTTACAACATATTAAAATATACAATTCGATAAAACATATAAGATTAAAAATTAAAATGCATACAGTAACATACATAGTATTGGGCCACCAATACAGATCGGAACATCTCATAATTAAAATCATAATCCAATTCGTTGTCCTTGATTGCTAGTCCATAGTCAAACACTTCACATCAAAATTAATTGAAGACTTGCTCGAATATCCAAGTTTTTAGTTTTTTCCGAAATGCCATTAGCGAGGTGGCTGATTTTAGCTTACTTACTCTGTTTCTAACTTCCAGGAAATACTAGTGCCTTGCAGAGGTAGCCATTTACACAATCCCATTTTTACTGATAATATGACCAGGAACTGAACTAGATTTTATTGACACTTTTTTCCACTTGATGCATACAAGGTACTTAATGCTGTGAAGGTGCAAAATATTTTTTTTACAAAAGCTAAAGAAACAAAATTCAACCAGCACTTGTCATTTGTGTAAGTATTCATCTCCTGAATCAATACTTGGTAGAACCATTTTTCACAGCAATTACAGCTGTGAGTCTTCTTGGGTAAACCTCTATCATCAATTTTGCACATTCAGATTCTGGAATTTCTGCCTGTTTTTGTGGCAAAATCACTCTAGGTCTGTCAGATTGGATGGGAACTATTGGTGATAGCAGCTCTGTTTTGGAACAGATTCTTAATCAAATTTAGGTCTGCGATTTGGATGAGCCATTCTAAGACTTTTGGGTTCTTGTTTTGAAACTGCTCCAGTATGACTTTGGCTGCATGATAAGATTAGGGTTAAGGTGTTATCCAAAAGAAGTAAATATACAAATAAACCACCCCTCCCCCCAAACAAATATTAACTTGGAAGCCAACCTATTTATCAGTTTCAGGTCCCCTGCAGACTGAAACAGGCTTTTCTCCAGAATTGCCATGTATGGGCTCCATCTATTCTCAGTCCTGACCAGTTTCCCAGTCCCCTTTGAGAAAAAGCATGACACCATTATGCTTCATCATGAGCATAGTGTTCTGAAAGTAATAATCACTTCTGTAATACAGCCCAGAAACCACACAACACCGCAGTGATTCCGGCCATGAAAGCCTTTGGCAATACACTTCTGTAATATTTTATATAGCTCTCTCTTTCTCATTAAGGAGAAGGGGTAAAAGGCAAACTAATAATATCAGACGACAAACTGAACAAAAACTAGCTGCTTTCTGGAAACAAAAAGACTGAAAATGGCATTCCGTTCTTCCTATGCAGCCAAGAAATCAAAGAATCACAGAGTGCAAGTTGCATTAATGACACAGTAGATGCAACCTGCAGTACTAGCTCATTACTAGAGAAATTGTGGGAAGATACAGTGTGAACACTTGCAGTTAAGACATTTCAAGGGCAAGTATTACACTTATGATATTGTTCAGAAAAATGTGGACAGGTGTGTCTGGTTAACATGGAAAGTAGAGACAACACCTTCTGGGACCAGCCACAGAATGGATGAATGAAAACTTCTTAGAATCCAAATGGCTGGGAAGCTACACAATTGGGGGGGGGGGGGAGTAACTTATAGAGGCCTATGGCTGCAGACAACTTTTGCAGTAGTACCCCAGTTCATTACACCAGGTCACTGAAACATGAGCGCAGTTGCTAAAGCTCTAATTTGGGCAAAAGCAATTTAAAGATCTGGGAACAAAAGAGAGCCAAAGAGGATAGGTAAAACCGTTTTACACTAGCAACAATTATAGTTCCTCCTTGGTGCTTTTACTGATTAGGATCACCTTCATTTTTTGTCTCAATGAACCTACAGATTTTACCGTCATCACTGATTTCAGACATTTATTCAATGCCTCTACAATTTCCCTTCAAACACATAGAAAGAGAGAGAGAACTGAATGGCATGAGGGGAGTACCCTTGGCACTGATGTGGTTCCCATTTTGCCACCATGTTAAAATTTGACTTATCACTAATTGTT